ACTACAGTAAATATATTTAAGATAATAAAGATATCCATGAAATATTTTTATATTTCACTTCTTCTTCCACACAAATACAATAAAATAGTATTTTAAAACAATAACATAGGCTTGATTCGGTGGATTTAATTTTTTTTTTTTTTCAAACTTAGACCTATGAAAAAGAAAGAAAATTTCATTTAATTTTCTAGGAAACATGTGATTTACGTTAAATAATGTTAGTTTCCAAAAATTATTATTATTATATATTTTTTCGTCACTCTCCGTTACCTTCTAGAACTTCATTTATTTTATATTATTTTTTCTAAAATTTTTCACTTTCCAAGAGTATATTATCAGTATACCTAATGATTATTATTTCCGGGGATTTATTTTTTACGTGGTTATCATTTTTATTTTTTTCTCAATTTTCCAACTATCATATTCTTTCAAATTTCATATTTAGCCATTTTTTATAGTTATTGGCAATAAAAGAGAGTATTTTTTTTTTTAAATTAACTATATTAAAGGTACTTTAGAGGAAGACGTAAATGAATATTGTGCATATAAGCCCTGTAAAGTGACATAAATAAGGGTAAGACCCTAATAGGTATTAAAATTAAAGACCACTTAATAATGCAATGGTACACCGAGTTTAATCAAAATCATTGGAGCACTTTTTTGAGAAAATTGTAAAAATATATTTCACCGTTCATATAGAGTGGCACTTCCGGTTAGATTTTAAGGAAAAAGTTGCTGTAGTATCTAAGTCATATACCTAGAAATATGTAAAAAGTTATACAAACTAAAAATAATGTATATAATCCATTTATAAAAATTTGTAATATTTTCTCTTACTTACTAACCGTGGTTTGAGCACTGAGGGTGTTCAAGTACTGACACATTTGGTAGCTAAGTGAAAAGGTCGGGGGGAGGAGGGGGGGGGGGGAAGATTTCTCACTTGTCCTTTTTCAGATAGCAAAAGGTAAGCAAACAAATAATATTTATAATAAAAGCAATTGTAATGTATTGAAATGATACGTAGGACAATATATTATACTTTATATAACAGAAAAATATTCAAATCAAATTCAGTATTCATACATGTATGATCTACGATCCGAAATAGGAAAACTTATAAATGACAAGGGAATATTAGTTGGATGTTGAGTCATATCCGCTGAGAGATAATATCATACATTTAATAAAATAAATATAACAATATTTTTTTTATTCTATCCTATGTATTTTGTTCTTTTTATATCTACATATTTTTATTTACCTGAATATCTAATATATTATATAATTAGTTTTGGTCCATCTATTTTTTATTTTATTTATCTCTAACTTCCCCCGAAATATATTCAACACAAGACTCACACTAAACAAAAATAGAATTAAACAGACGATACGGTCTTTTATCCGGATTAGTTGACAGACGTTCAAAATTATCTTTGACTAACAAACTAACTTTGTAAAGTTTTACTTAAACCAATTTGGACTTACAGCATAGAACTGTGTGGTTCTGCTAAATCTTCCAACATTACAAAAAAAAAATCAGTCCTTCCAGTCAAAAGTGTTGTAAAGGATAGTTGACGTACCGTTTTATGTCGCAAATGATATGCTACATAATGACGTGCAAAAGAAAACCACAATAACTTTCAACGAAAACTGATGTACAACATAAATCATCTGACAGAAATCCTTCAACGTATAAGAAACCCGTACAACCCATCACGATTGCGTAGGCGTTGGCCAAGAGACCAGCTGATCTCAAAGAAATTTGCTGATTGAATATTTAATTTAATGTTCCGCATTTTTATGTGGTTAATAATAATAGAGCAATACTTTTATTTTAACAAATTAATACATTAATATTGATATTATTTTATTAATCGGACGCTGATGACCTATATGTGTTTCATCATCTACAATATCAAACAACCAACCAACCAATGATTAAAAAAACATTTTTTTTTTTTTTAGTGAATAATAATCCGGTTTCTTAGACTCCAACTGGACAAACGACTCACTTTGAACCCCCATACCAGACTGAAAGGACTAGAAACCGCCCGACGTTTTCGACTACTGCAGCACTTACTAGACAAGCGTTCTAAACTTCCAACTATTTACAAAAGAATCATATATATTACTATAATAAGGTCTATTTGGGGCTCTACTAAACCATCAAATTCCTCTCGTATCCAATCTCCACAATCCAAAATCCTTCGTAAAATCCTCAATGGTCAATGATTATTTGTCACAAATAAAATCATCCACAATGAACTTAATGTACCATATGTTTCAGATTTAGCTCAATCCAGATACCTATCCTACCATAATAAACTTCTGAACCCTCTTGTTTCCAACCTTGCTTCCTCTTCTATTCCTGATAACCATCCAAGGCGTCTGAAAAGAAGATGGTCTCGGGACCTTCTAATATAGAAATATAATTGGAGTGCTACCAATGGGTAGTTTCTCTTCATGATGTAGGTGCTATGTTACTTATTTCATATTTACTTGTTGTATTTATCATTTAACACAGTTGTAAATTTCAATTTTACAGTAAATTTTCATAAAAACAGTAATACATTCTGTTACTCCAAACGGCAATAATTATTTTCATTCATGCAATATAGGATATCTCGTAAGCAGAGGAAAATAATTAATGCGGTGATAGGAGATATCTATTTTGTCGTTGTTAAACCCATTTGAAGAGGACATTCAGCGAATAAACCAAGCTTAGTTCTGTCTAGGAAAGAAAAAAAATTCGACTTTGTTTTATCAACCTTAAACTGTAATACAGACACCCTATTTTGAGAAAAACTTTTTTGTTTAATAAGCTTTATGTCCATGTTAATCAAGTGGAGATTCACCTTAGTGAAAAGTAAGGTGTTGACTTTATTTAATTCAAAACGAAAGGATTTTTCAGAAAATATATTCAAAATTCACTTTCAAGATGGCAAACGTGTTTCGTTGTACAGAAGTTGGATAACTCTACTAAAAATGCCTGAAGATAGAATCCCACGGATTTGCTACAATAGATTGAAGGAATTGGACAATAATCGCAATATGGTTTTCAATTGGTACTCTCAGCTAAAAGGAAAATTATTAAAAGTAGGTTCAGATTCAATTTTGCTACACAATAATGATCCTAATCCTGACATTGCTCAACTATACCTCAAAGACATTATAAATAGATTTGAAAATCACTCCATTTGCAACGATATAAATTCGAGAAATAGTCTAAGAATAAAAACGAAGCCACGGAGAACAGTATTTAAACATAAGAAGAAACATAACCAAACATAGAACAGTCAGCCAATTTAGGGTAGCCAATTTAACGAAACCTTCATTTTATCTTAATGGAACGGCCTATACACTAGAAGGAGAAGAAAACTGTACTATATGCAACCTCCAAAAGACAATTTTCATCATTTTTTAATAGAATGTCCGATGTATAAAGACTTGAGGGAACATTACATAGAGGAATATATTACAGAAGACAACAATTCAATGTTCGCTAATTTATTAACGATAGAAAACATCGCAAAGTTAAATGATATATTTTATTTTACAGTTGCTAGCCTTAAAATAAGATCATTCATTGTGAATGATTAAATGCCAGAAATATTTATGTATATGTTTATGTTTACCATAAGACATTGTTATCTTCGATTAAGAAGTTGAGCATATGTATTGTAGCAATTTGCTATATTGTATTGTAGGAATATATTATTTCTTTATTTTAAAATTCCTTTAATGTATATTATTTTTTTTATACTAGTAGGCCCTTGGGAAAAATTCACACATCATATTGTTTTAAAATGCCAAATTAATAATGAAATAAAATAATGCAACATATCAAAAGATATAGAATTCAATTGTTACTTAATCCATAAATATAATCGACAAAAGAAACAAAAATTAATTTAAATCTTCATTATTGTTTGGAACCAATATTTTTACAAATTTTAATAAGCTGTATCTTTGCTAAAATGTGTCGAATTTCGATAAATTTTTTCCTTTTGCAGGGAATTTAGTAATAATTATATATAATTATGGGCATAACATATAAAAGGGGAAAGTGTGTAATTTTTTAGTTATTCGCAAATAAAGTTTGTCTTCTTTCATAACTTGTTTACCTGAATTTTCGGGGTGGTTGGACTATTTTTCCAGCCTGAAGGAGAAGGAAGCCTTCAAAATCGGTGGCTCAATCTTGAGATTTGGTGAAGAACTAACAATGATATGGCTTGCCGATCAAAAATACCATCGATAAATAATATAAACTCCTTCAGTATCGATCATAGAGACCTCAAGTCGACGAAATGAGACATGTATCCAATGACAGTACTACAATTAACGTCAGGTTGTGTGGATGCGAACCCCATGCCTTGCGTTTTCTCGAAAATAGTACGTTTTTGGGTTTAAAAACGCTGGATCCTATAGTTCCAAAGGAACTATCCAGGGTCTTGCTGTACGCATCAAAATCTTCAATATCCAATTTGTCCCGCATCGATCTACAGACCTACCACCGTTTCACTATTGAAGCCTAGCAAAATGTTTGTATCGACTTTATTTATTTTAGAAAGAAAAATAAAAGTGGAGAATAGGATTCGCTAATCCCCCGTGAAATTCTGAATCCAGCGATATCCCATTCATAGTATTTGAGCATGACAGGAGCTTATATTTGGTACAAAACCGATTTTGAGCCTTACTGTAATAATATATGTGTGGGTATATTCAAAGTGAATACTTTTTATTTATATTCTCATACAGTTTTTTTTTTTTTTTTTACATCACAATTTATATATCTACTTATTTATGAAAAAAGAATATTTCTCCAATTTATCTCTATATTTGTATAGTGCTTTATTTATGTAATAATGTGTTTATTGGAGCCAGATCTGTAATTGTAAAATGCAGAATTTTCGTTCATTCATTCAATTGTTTCGTTGATTTTATCCTACTCCTTATATCACGCACATAAATACAGCCATCATTTATGTGAGGAACCTTTACCATATTATGGAAGGTGCGAATAGTACAGGGTAAAGAAAGTTAAATAAACATTATTTTTATTTCAATTATACAAACATTAATGGAGTTTTTAATATCCATTGACAGATTTCTTGAGTTTCATTCATGTGAGTGGTGTGCGGACATTCTTTTTATTAAATCCTGTAAACTCGGCTGATATGGAGGGGGCGGTGGTGGGAGCGGACAATCCGGGAGGGTGCACGGAGTGGGGGGAGGGGCAGGAGGGCTCAACTTCTTCTCTATGTAATCTGCCGCAAATACTGTCCCGTCGTGTATGGCGTCGGCCGTCCTGTTGAAGACGTAATTGTGGGCGGTCAGGATGGTCTGGCCGGCCAGGTTTGCTATGTCTGCTGTATTATGTATCGTTTCTCTTGCATTCAGAACCAACGGGGCTAAATCTGGCACCAATCCGATTATATTTGATGCTACACCGTCTGAAAACAGAACGATAGTTCAAAATCAAATTTAGTATTCATACATGATGCGAAAAAGGAAATGTTATGAATGATAAGAGAATATTATTTGATATTGAAGCCGATAAAGCTTCAATAAAAGGCAATATCTCTCCCAAGTCCGCTTAAACAAAATATCCAAAAGAAATGGCAGAACATGTGTGATATCAGTTCTCCAAAGAAACTCACCTTTAGTTCCTCTAGTCTCCACACCGCCAGAAAGGAAGTGAGGATCGGCCATTTCAGATCGACATACTCAATTTAATATTCAAAAGTCGTCACAAGAATAAAAAACAAAAAACAAAGCTGAGGCATAAATAGTGCAAGTTCCTCAACTCGGCACTGAACTCATCGATGTCATCGTAAATCCATCAGACCTGTTTTGTGAATATACAGTGGCTTAATGATACAGTGCGGTCATACGGATAGGACGGCCATATTGGATCGGCGGGAAACTAATATTTGTATAGTCTGTCTTTGTTATTTCAATTTAAAAAGTAATTATTTTATTTTATTGATTTTCCTTTATAATTCAGTGGTTATGAGAGAAAAAGATTGAAATTAAGTTTGAAACTTGATTATAGAAGATATTTTTATAGTTTGAGGCTATTAGCTGATACAATTTGTATTTTGAAGTCAGTGGTTTCAAGTATAAAATTGAAATTTGGTTTTCATTTATAGTTGTTGCTACTTTCAATATTAAAAATATGAGTGCAGTTGATGATCCTTAAATCATAGTTTAATTGATTATAGTTGCTGATCCTTAAATGATAATCTTGACCTTAAATGATACTCATATTTTAATGATGAAAGTAACAATAACTATAAAGGAAAACAAAATTTCAATTTTATACTAGAAACTAATAACTTCAAGATAAAAATTGTGTTAGCTAATAGCCTCGATCTGTAGACATTGTCTTCATATAAACAAGTTTCAAACTTGATTTCCATATTTTTCTTTTATTACCACTGAATTAAAAAGGAAAAACACAGCGATGTTATCAGAACACAGCGCATAACATTAATTCAACCAAGATGGCCGGTGGAGTACCGCTTGTAAATAATTACCAAATTAATAAAATAAGGTAAAAAATTAAAGTATACTCACAATTTTAAGTCTATGAAGAAGAAACCAAACTTGTCACTTTAACTTTAAACACTATTATATATATCACTATTAAATAAAAAATATCTATTAATAAACTAAATCTATTACTAAAACAACACAATTAATCTTTCAAACAAAATATCACTAATAAAATATGAGTCTGTAAAGATGAAACCTATCACTGAACATGAATAGGTTAACTATCACTTTAAACACTAAAACATACAACTATTCAATAAAAACTATCTATTAATAAACTAAAGATATCACTTAAACAACAAAATTAAGCTTCTAAACTAAAATACTGCTAATAAAATATGAAATTTTAACAGTTTTGAGGTGCCTAAAGAGCAAGCAGTTAGCAAGGGACGATCCAAGATGGCCAACCAATCAGAAATCGACTCCATATGACCGCACTGTATTATTAAGTCACTGTAGTGAATACGCCTTCGAATGCTGTCTAGCGGTAGGATGCAAAAACACAGATAGCCTTCACAGAATGCCCATTTATTTGGCACTTTAAAGTACTATCTCGCGACCGCTTGCGGTTGACCACTGCTTTACTAGAATAGAAAGGAACCTATTTCGCTGCCGCTGCAAGGCAGTCTAGGTATGACGTCATATCTAAGCTGCTACTATCTGACCGCTCTTGAAGCAGTGGAGCTGTTGGCGGTTCTAGGTTCTAGGTTATGTTATCATAATAGAGGATTGTTTTGATGATAACAGTCACGTCGATACGTTTTAGTTCCTTTGTTTCTTTCAAGACTGACAAAATTATAAGAAATATTGTTTAAAACTTAAACAATGCAATAGTAAATTATTTTTTTAAGGTTGAAGTAACAAGATTATTTATTTTGTTCTTGAAGTAACAAGAATTTTAATTTTGTTCTGTTTTGTTATTCTCAAGGGACTGTGTCCCAGAATAAAGTTATTTTTCTATCTTTCTATCTATCTATCTTCTATTTATTTATTCCACCAGCAATATTTTACAGCGAAATTCAAATATACCTAAATCCAAACGATATTAAATAAATTAAAGAATCCAACAAATTTTAACATCAGGTAAATACTAAAATCCAATCAATGAAAAATTGATTTGTATTTTTTAATTAAAGTGGGAATTTACTGATTAATATTGATAAAACGATAAAACATCGTCTGCTGTGATTTAATTACAAATCTATGATATTTATTACTACTAAATTATGTAATAATTACTATTACTTAAGCGTTTATAGGCCTTGAAGCAGCTGCAAGACCACTTGGTCTAGAAGTCAACGAGAGGAAAACTAAGTATATGAGAGTTGGTGGTGAGGTGGATCTGAACTCTCCATTTGAGGTAGGTTCTTTTAAGTTTGAGAGAGTGAAAAGTTTTATATACCTTGACATGGCTCAAGAAATACAAAGAAGGATCACGGCTGCCAATAGATGTGTCTTTGGACTTGGCCGACACTTAAGAAGTAGGTACCTCTCAAAGAAGACCAAGCTGATCATATACAAGACCCTTGTACGGCCTGTTTTGACATATGGCTCAGAGGCTTGGACGATGACTAAAAAGTATGAGATGAAGCTGAGTGTCTTTGAGCGAGGAGTCCTCAGAAGGATTTATGGTCCAGTAAAGGAGGGTGATGTCTGGAGGAAAAGAAAAAATAGGGAGCTCAGTTCTCTCTATGCAGACATCGATGTAGTCACGTATATTAAACTGGCCAGACTAAGGTGGGCAGGGCATGTGGCCAGAATGAGCACCGTTGAAATACCAAAAAAAATAATGATGGAGGAGCTGCACCTCGTAAGACGGGTAGGAAGACCGAGGACGAGGTGGTTGGACAACGTGGCTTATGATGCGAGAACCCTGCTTGGTGTACGGAACTGGAGAGCTGCAGCAGAAGACAGAGCCAACTGGCGGAGGCTCTTGGAGGAGGCCCAGTCTCGGTAACGGGATGTTGTGCCACACATGAATGGATGAACTATTACTTTTGAAACTAATAATATCTAATATCAGAGGAACTATTGTTGCTAGTACGGCGTTGCCCGCTTTTTGTTCTTTTTTGGTTGTTCCTCAGTTTTTTATTGTTCATCTAGACTACAGCAAACAATGTCCAAGAAGGGATTTGATCATCTCATCTAATTACTGATATTCTTCTCCTTATGAACACCATTTCCTCTTTTTATTCTTCCTCCTCAAATAAAAAAGCATAGTCGGAGAAATAATGTCCATTTTTACTTTCACTTACGTATTTTTTTTTTTTTTTTTTTTTTTTTTTTTTTTGTTCTTCCCTACCTCGCCTTTTAGGCTATACGGGATTTTCCCGGGCTGGGGGGGTGAGGGCGGGAAATTTAAAATCCCCTCCGGCACCGGGATGCGAACTAGTACTTTTTAATATCATCTCAAATCTCTGTTATCCGGTTGCCAGGCAACTAGCGGTGCTGTGCACACGCTTTAGCCTATTCGGCTAACCCGCCCCTCTCACTTACGTATATATGTAATATATAGAAAGGGTAAGTAATGCGATCGAGAAAATTTTTAAATCTGAGTTTTCAACGGAAATACACGTTTTGAGGTACCCTGAGTCGAAATAACCAAGTCCCGAAAAATGGTCTGTGTGTCTGTGTGTTTGCATGCTAGCTCAAAAACGAAAAGTCGTGCGAAACTGATATTACGTATTTAAGATAGGTATGTGCCTTAGATGTGACATCAACTTTTTCCTCAAAATCGGCTAACCGAAAGTGCCACTTTATATCAACGCTGAAACACATTTTTATAATTTTCTAAAAAACGGTTCTAACGATTTTGATTAAACTCAGTGTATCAATGTATAATGAAGTAATCTTTAATGCCAATTAGGTCTTATCCTCATTGATTACACTTTACAGGGCTTAAATGCCCAATGTTCATACACGTCTTCCTCTAAAGTACCTTTAATATGGTTTATATTAAAAAGTTAATCATTTCAAATTATTCAGAGTTACGAAAAAATACTAACTATAACTTTTGAAAGAATTTGATAAGTTAATAAAGGAGAAAAAAATAAAAATTCAGAAAAACCAGCGTTGCTATAAACTGCAACGCAAATTTCAATGAAACTTTGCTAAAGTCATTTTCTCGACGCCCTTTAAATTTATCTATATAACATACTTCAACGAAAAGAAGCTGGAAAAAAAGTTACGAGGGATGGTAAAATTAAATTCTGAATTACCCAAAAAGTATACACTTTTTTGGGGATATTGTATATGTTTTTTTTAAAGTTTACGGAATTTCCTAAAAAAATCGGACAATTAGGATGAAAGATATTGTCTCTAGCTTTTTTTTTTTAATATGTTCTGCTTCAAAGCTTATATCTTTTGTTTTATCAACTTACTCACTGTCAGGATAGATAACTTTTTCAACTAAAAATATCACTAAAATGGAATTATTAAAAAATGTTGAAATTGGAGTTAGTCGTTATGTGGTTTATAAAAGCAAAGAAAGTTGCGTGGTTTGTAAAAGCAGATGGAGTGACTAAATTTTTATTATCTACTGTCGATATATTAAATAGACATTTTGTAATTATAATGGTCTTAATGACTTGTTTTCTGAAAGCCTTAAGGTTTATCTCTGTTTAAAATGCACTTCAAAAAATTTTATAATAGCCCAGCATTGCCAGAAAGTAATTGCTATTTAAAGTAGAGCGGTAAGTGAAAGTTGTGTGTTGCGCGCACCAGATTTTTTTATCTTCGAAGATAAAGCGAAATGTTCGAAGTTTATAGGCAGGTTATAACAACCCCAGTGAGCAGTTTCAACGAAATAGCTGCGCCAACAGCGTTTGGCAGTGTGGAATAGCGGTTGCTGTCGTGGGCCGCGACAGTAAAATAGTACCTTTAGCTCTATACAAGCAAGGACAGACATCGCAGTGAAGGGACCCTTATCACTGGATCTAAGAAATTGCGTTATGGCAACAGAAAGAATGAGTGAATTAATTTCACACTACATATGCCCAGGAGTGCCCATCCCTCCAAGACCTTTCTTCCTCCCAAGATATTTTATTATTTACCTTTTCTTAATAACAAAGCTATCTAAGGTAAAATTATAAAAATCGTAGATCATATACAATTACACTTTCTGCGGTCTGTTCCATATTTTCCCATTGTTACTTTGTTCGAAAATGTATAACCCTGTCAAAATTTGCCCCTTCAAAAATTCAAAAACAAATCAAAATATGCTCCCTCCCCCCAAAAAAAAAATGTTGATGGCACAACTTGCGCCATGATACCCCATTCTGGGCACGCCTCTCCGTCATGCTTCAATACAGTCCACTGAAAAATCTTTTCGTACTTCGCTTCATATTTAACATAATATAGTGTATTTTTTTCTCTAAAACTTAGTTTATTGCCTTTAAATACCCTTTCCAAACTTATCGTTGAAAAGTTTTTCGGCAATATTTATTAAATAGTATTAACAATGACAAACTCTAATTTCGATAAAAGTTGGAGTTCTGGCAATGGCCAGATTCTTCACTCAAGACATGAGTGTATGTGGCTAAAGTGCTCTCGACCAATCTCCGCTGGCTTTAGTACCAATGACGCGGTTGGGAGAGTAGCACAGGATTCTCCTGGAGTTCCCTCGCCTGATTGTATATAGGTATGCATGTGTTTTTTTTTTCTTAGTTTTAATTTTCTTATTTTTTAGATTATTTTATTTTATTGTCTATTGTATATACTTTTGATTATTATTTTGTTCTATTTATTTTATTTTTTTGTACATATAGTGTGAATGTCATCCTACCTCACTATAACCAATGTCCAACAGACAGATTGTTATAATACTCAATAAAGAAAAAAAAAAATTCGATAAAAGTAAATATTGTCTAGTTTACTATGCAATATTTAGTTAGGGTAAAGTCACCTGTAGTAGACACTATTGTGAGAATCTTCCAATAATTTTAAATGTGAATAGTTAGATTCTTTTCAAGCTTCCATTTTTGCTATATTTGTCCAACAACACTCTTACGTGACCTAAATTCTTTCTAAGATAACTTAAACATTGATATTTAGGTTGTTTTTTAGATAATTTTCAAGAACATGTTTTTTCACCAACATGCTGGTAGTGGACAATTTATTACAAGCATATTATCAAGTGCCAATACCGGAAGATGATAAGAAGAAGTCGGCAAGAATAACATACTTTGGGTTATTTGAATTTAATGCCTTTGCCTATATGGATTGACATCTTAACTGCGTCACAAAATGAATCAGACAAAAATCATCTTCTAGCTGTTTTCCAGCGACTACAGGAATATGTACAATAAATATTAGTAAATCAGAATTTGGACGCAATTAAATAATTTTTCTTGAACATAAAGTTTCTGCGTCCGAGTTATAACCTGCTCCGAAAAAGGTGGAGGTTATAGTTAATTATAAACGAACGGAAACACCTAAAGAACTCCAAGCGTTCCTTGGTCTCTTGAATTTTTACCGGAAACCCATGCTGCTGAAAATCAAGCTATTGGTTGGCCTATAAGTCCTTTCGGTTTTTCAGGTTGAAACAAAACTTAATGTATTATAGACATAAAATTTATTTTAATCTAAAATATACTGACTGCATAATGGCATATTCATATAATAACTGCGGTTTATTGTTAAAAAAACTGAACCTAGTAGTTTGGATGACTTGGAATTTCTTTCCATTCATGGAGTTCTGCAGCGACCGGAATAAGGGGTAGTCACTTGGAGTTAGGTCTGGTGTATAGGGAGGGTGGGGCAACAGGTCCAATCCAAGGCTCAATAATTTATTGCGGGTGACCAATGAGGTGTGGGGGCAAGCGTTGTCTTGGTTGAACATACCCTTCCGATCATTGATAACTCTTCAGGATGTTCTCCAAAGTTTATGTTGCTATATCCGTTGAAAAGCTGAATTCTTGCTCTTCAAAACCGTACGAATAATTTTTGATTTAATCAGTACATAAGAACTAAATAAACAAAAACTGCTTATAGTTTTTTTTTTAATCTCAATTTGTAGTTTGTTTACAAAGGTCCTGTTTTTTGTAGTTGATGTGGCCCTAAATTCCTGATAAATTTCTTGCAGCTAGCTAAAGTTATATTGAAGTTATAACATTTTTTTGTGATTTTCGAAATAAAAAATTATGTGGGGACCCAAACATTAAGCCTGAAAACACAGCTGAGCTTGTGCAAATAGTTATCTACGCTTGTGTGCGACCCATTTAGGGCTATAGCAATCTCTCGCACTGATTGGTAGGGATTTTGATCAACAATGGCCTTAACATTACTCGTTTCAATTTCATGTGGGCGACAAGTCCGTTAAGCATCATATATGTCAAAATTTCCTGAATGAAATTCGGCAAACCAATTTTGAAAGGTACGTTCTGTTATGGCATCATCCCCATAAACACTGCAAAATTTTCTATGAGCTTCTGCAGCACGCTCATCTCAGCACGCTTACCTTTTTTTAAAATAGTACAACAAAATATGCCGATAATTAATGATATGTTTTTGCATATTCACAGTCCAATAGCAAACACAATACTAAGTTAACTCCAAAAAGAATTAACAGGTATAGTTGTTGACATATTACAAACAGGATAAACAATCCATCATAGTGATTAATTTATCAGATAAGAAGTGCATTATAACAATATAAAAATAAACAGAAAGACCGAAAGGACATATTTGCCAACCTAATGTTTTAAATAACCTGCTTACAAATGTAACTATCACTTTCTGCCAGTGTCAATCAAGTCTGCCAATCTTACTCATGTCTGCTAATGTCAGTCATGTCTTGCCAATCTCACTCATGTCTGCTAATGCCAGTCATGTCTTGCCAATCTCACTCATGTCTGCTAATGTCAGTCATGTCTTGCCAATCTCACTCATGTCTGCTAATGCCAGTCATGTCTTGCCAATCTCACTCATGTCTGCTAATGTCAGTCATGTCTTGCCAATCTCACTCATGTCAGCTAATGCCAGTCATGTCGGTGTGAATGTGTTTATTTATCAATATAATTATTGTCTCCGTGAAAGAATATTATATGTCTAAATAAATAAATTTTAAATAACCCGCTTACAAATGTTACTATCACCTTCTGGCAGTCTCAATCATGTCTGCCAATCTTACTCTTGTCTGCTAATGTCAGTCATGTCTTGCCAATCTCACTCATGTCTGCCAGTGTCAGTCATGGATTTTTCAATAATTTTCTGTTAAACACTTACCAACTCCTATCTTAATTACATCTATGCCTCCTTCGAGTAGATGAGAGTTGGTACTTATGATAGAATTGAAGGCTGTCTTGGACATATCAGCCAAACCCTTGATTGGATGTTTGATCGCCGTCGCGGTCCTACCCAAAGATGATAATATATTCTTCAGGTCTGTAAAAGTTCTGTAGGTCGGTTTTGCCTTTTCGATTTCATCGGGACCGTTCGATTCTTCTGGCATCTTAGGTTCACCTTCCTCTAGGTTGCGCATTACAGTTTCCTCTGGCTTGTCTAGTTCACCGTCCTCTATCTTCTGCACTACGGTTTCCTCTGGTTTGTTTAGATCGCCTTCTAGCTTGAGAATTCCGGTTTCTTCTGGCTTCTCCGGTTCACCTTCCTTTGGCTTATTTAGTTCATCTTTATCTGGTTTCTTCGTATCACTTTCATCTTGGGTTTTTATCTGGACAAAACGTAAGGTGACGATCGCCCATACCAATATCACGTTTCTGTATCTCATTTCAGCCTTCGGCTTGGAGATTGAATGTGAATCTTGTTATAATCTGCGAAAAAAAAAAACAGAATGTTTAACAAAACACTATTTTGTATAATTATTTGTATACACAGGTGTATAAAAAAAAGAAGATATCCAAAATTTGTATATTATTTATGTCCAAAAAACTATTTCAATCATAAATAGTATTTATATTGAACTTATATTATATTTTATGAAATTCGATTCTGTCCCAGGTCTATACTTGCCTTAAATCCGCAATTTAGGATTCGTAGGACTTTTGGTTTTTGAGCTATGCCGTTCGGAGAGTTAACGAATCGGAGGCAGTGAAGATTTTATAATTACTACTTTTATTCATAATGTCTGTTACAAATGGCATCTAACATACTGAAATATCATATGGATAGATAGGTTTGACTACAAGAGTTCACTCCAGGTCTTCTACAAGAGTGTGACTTCAAGAATGTAACTGCATGAGTGATTAGTCCAGAGGAGCAGGGAGTTTATATGCCCAAGAATAGCAAGGAGGTGAAGGGAAGTCGAAAAAGAACGACAAAGGAAGTAATCGATAGTAAATATTCTTAAGATGAAGTCTGTGAGAAAGTGCCCTTTTTCTGAAATCTGTTATTGTTCCCTAAGTCTTGATAATGGGTCGGTTTTATTTTTAGACACAAGGAAGCTCAAAACTTGTGATTCCGTTGAAAACTCTGATTCGAAAATCTTATACCACGCATATTCTCTAAATTTCACCTAGCCTTACATACCATCCATATCGCCTTGCTCAATACCTCTTTAGTTCCGCCCAATCATGCAATCCTTCACAAACGTTGAAACGACAGTGGCTTCGCGACATTTTGTAAATATGTATTTATTGAAGCTCCAGGAATTATCAAAGTCTCTCTTAAGACATGTGTGTTTAGCTATAACAATCTCGCTCAATTTTAGCTGCATTTTAGTTTTACTGACATGGTTCATAGAATATTGTCCCATATACAGCAGAAAAGTAAGAAATTTAATTTTTTTAAACGAGTCACGTTATTTGTTCTATAGGGAGCGATAACATGAAAAATATTTAATCTAAGTAATTAAACATTGCTGCATAGTAAAATAAATAAAATTTAATTTAAAACAAATTAGAGGTTGCCTTTGTTAAAACTATTTAAAAAGGACTTTTGAACCGCTTCGTACAGCAAAGTTTGGATTTAAAAGAAGTCATAAATTATTTGTTATTTTTTTTTTTTTTTATCACTCCTCAACTGTACTACATTTACTCCACTTTTACAAAAACTTTAATAAGTTTTAAGTCCAATAAGCTACCCAGTCACCTTAAAGTACCCGTGTTTTCTGCAAAAATGACTACAATAAACTGTTATAAAGCTTTCATTTCTTATTTTTCCACGATATGGGATATATTGTAATAAACATAATTGCCTAAAAACACATTTTACTTATAAATATAAAAAACTTAAAAATAACGATTTTTTTTTATATAATTGGTTATGAATTTGTGTTTTTCTCCCAGATCTCCTTCATAGGAATTTATATGTATTTATCAGTGACAAACTTAATGTTTCTTAGTAAAATTTATGTTTAAAATTAAAAAAATCTACATATTGTTTCAATTATTTTCATGAAAAGGTAAATTAAGTTTGTTATCTATAAAAACATTTTGAAAATCAGGCTTTTTAACACTGTTAGAGAACATCAATTAAAATATGACCTACACTTTATTTTAAAAAATCTACACTGATTAAATAAATGTGATCAAAATCAGTTTAGACATTTTTTGAGCTGATTTTTAAGAAAAAAGTTACTGAAACATCCCTGGGATGTAGAAACATTAAATTTGCATTTGCAGTTGCGGATGACTTTCCGTTTTCGTTTTAGACTGTTCACATGCACAGAGCATTTGCGAGACATGGTTTTTGGACTCAAGAGACCTCAAAACGTGTACTTCCATTGAAAACACGGAGTCGAAATTACATACAGAGGTATGTACTAATAATTTATTTACGAACTTATTGGACTCATGTCAACAAATCATACTACAAACAATTATTCTCAAATATATTGTAAATCAGTAACAAAGCAAACAAGAGGCAGAAAATAAATGTTAGGTTAGTGATGCCCTAAATCGGTCTTGGTCTTGCACTTTACAAGACTAAGACCAAGCCCGCCTAACTGTTGCAAAACCAAGACCAAGACCAGGACTACTAAAAATAATCGATTTCTTAAAATAAAAATTAATACAAAATAGTTACTAATACTTGACAATCTTAGTTACAATATCCCCAAATATATTATTACAGTAAGGCTCGAAATCGGTTTTGTACCAAATATAAACTCCTGTCATGCTCAAATACCATGAATGGGGTACCGTTGGATTCAGAATTTCACGGGGTTAGCGAATCGTATTCTCCACTTTTGTTTTTCTTTCTGAAACAAATAAAGTCGATACAAACATTTTGCTAGACTTCAATACTGGAACGGTGGTAGGTCTGTAGATCGATGCGGGACAAATTGGACCTTGAAGATTTTGATGCGTACAGCAAGACCCGGATAGTTCCTCCGGAACTATCGGATCCTGCGTTTTTAAGCCCCAAAACGTACTATGTTCGAGATACATGTCTCGTTTCGTCGACTTGAGGCCTCTATGATCGAGAGAGGAGGAGTTTATATTATTTATCGATGGTGTTTTTGATCGGCAAGCCATATCATCGTTAATTCTTCACCAAATCTCAAGATTGAGCCACCAATTCCGAAGCCTTCCTTCTCCTTCAGGCGGGCAAAATAGTCCAATCACCTCGAAAATTCAGGCAAACATGTTATGAAAGAAAACAAACTTTATTTGCGAATAACTAAAAAAAAATTCCCTTTTCTCTTTGTGATGCCTGCAATTATATAAAAAAATTATTAAATACCGTACAAATGAAAAAAAAATCATTAAAATCGGACAACTTTTCGCTAAGATACAGCTTGTTGAAATTTGTTGGTTCCAAACAAAAATGAAGATTTAAATTAATTTTGTTTCCTTTGTCGATTATATTTATCGATCAAGTAAAAATTGATTCATTTATCTTTTGATACGTTGCATTATTTTATTTTCTTATTAATTTGTCATTTGATAACAATAAGCTGTGCGAATTATTCGCACAGGCCTACTAATATTAATAATTGGTATAACCAATGTACTTTTGCATTTAAATCCTCTAATTTTTCATTCGGCCTTAGTTAGGTTTCTCCTATCTAAAAAATTACAGTAATAGCTCTATATTAATAAGCTAATAAATAACTGCAAGACTGTTGCGAGTCTCTTGCGCAAGACCAAGACCATGACCAAGAACCAAGACTGAGTTTGCAAGACCAAGACTCGTCTCGGTCTCACTCTTGGTCAACACCATGTTAGGTAATAATTGAAAAGAAATCCAAACTCCTCCAAATGCAGGCATAGAAAAACTCGCCAATTCAGATATCATCCCAATCGCATATTGGGTATCATGGATAGCCAGTATACGAATCGGTATCATCTGTTCGAACTGCTGATCTCTGATCTGATCAGAGACGAGCAAATACTTCTTTGAGTACCGAGGACCAAGTATTTTACTCAAATTGAATCACTATTGATAATTCAATGTCTACTTCAGTTAATCCTTTAATATCAACTGAAGTAGTAATTAAATTCTGTGGTACTCAAAAAAAGGTCAATACTTGAGTTAAATACTTAGTACTGAGTACTATCCATGAGTCCATCAGGACTCCTGATGATGGCTGTATTGAGCGGCGTTATTTGCCGGCATTTTGGGAAAATGTGGCTATCTGGTTGGAATATTTCCAATTATAAGCTAATTATTTCCAAAGCTTTAAAATTATATTTAATGATTTATAATAAGTTCATCAAAATCACTTTGGTAGAAATAAGTGTTTAATTTATAAATTATTGAAAATGTTGGAAACTATTATGCTTATTCGTGTCTAAAGTTTTGGAATATATCATTCAACTATGTACTGTGTGATGTTTTGTTTTATTGCAACAGTTAAGGACTGAGGCCAATCTTGATGAAGTCCACGGCTTTCTTAAACTTAGCACTTGTATATAGGTAAAGTTATAACCTAGCGTTAATGATGAATATAAGGTATATACATAATAAAATCCCTTTCCAAGTAATAATTGTTACTATACTATAAATTATAATTTACAGAATGGTGTTAAAAATGCTGCGTAAGTTGTATGATTTTGTACTTTGAGTATTAGATATGGAAAAATGTAATATTACTCAATAAAGAAATGTTTTTATTCAGTAATATTACATTTATATATATATATATATATATATATATATATATATATATATATATATATATATATATATATTAACAAATGTAGTTTATGGTTTACAAGACCTGGCTAGAATGTCGCAGATATTTCTATCTCATCCACAAGATTTTTTATTTTATTTTTTCTGCAGTAAGAGAAGTAAGGTCGTCAAAACTTTGTAATAAAGTTCTAAAAGGGGGACCCTTTTTCTAGAGATGGTGAATCTGATCAAATCTCGGAATTGTGAATTCTCTCTCCTACCTCTGGTTATTTCTGATCTCCTTTTTAAAAACTTTTATTTGATCTCATTTATCAACTTCGAGAATTCTTGAAATCCATTCACGAAATCAACAGATGTAGAGTAATAAAATATTAAGGTAATACAATATTAAGGTATTCCAAAAAAAAAATCCATTAACGATTAATTACCAGATTCAAATTTCGGTTTATTATTTTCAATTATGAACCATTTTAATCAACCCCAGAAAAATTCGAAAACTAAACTCCTCTCAAAATTTGAGATTTTACACTTCAGGACAAGTAGAACTCGAAAATCAAAGAAAAAAAGCTCCCAGGCTTTTCTCCGGGACTAATGTAATATCTAGGACAATTGACGAATCATAATTCCAAAATTTCATTGCAATAAAAGTCATTGAAAAATTAGGTCTTTTGTTTATTAATTCATTGAAGGGATAAGGGATAGACCATTTCTGAAGAACATTATATGCTAATCA